CTGCTCGGATTTGGATGAAATTTCCACACAAGGTTAGTTAGTACTATGCCAAGGACGAAAAAGGTTTGCGGAAATTTCGTACAGTGGCGGCGGAGCCAGAGGCAAACACAGGAAAGAAATAAAAAGCCGCTCAAACCTCGTTTTTTGAGGTTACTAATCATTTTCAGAAAAAAATTTGTAAGGGTTGAAAATTGGAGGTTGGGAGTTGTAGTGGTGGGGAATGTTATATTTCATTTTTATCAGCAGTGTGATTCAGCACCGTTGCCAGATGGTCGATACGTAAAATTTTTGTGTTAAACATATCTGTAGCTAGTTCGTTGCACTGTCTTGCTAAGCTAAAGCCAAGTTTGAGCTAAGCCGAACCTCAACTTTCATGGTTTTGGTGCACAAATAAAAAATATCAGCTTGCGAGTTTGAAATTTTTATGAGATGACCTCTGTCAAGAGCTTGATAAATTAGAAACTATGGATATGGAAAGTTTTTCGTTGAGTTCTAAAAGTGATCATAGTATTTTTTGGGTACTCATCAGAAACAACACAGTTTGTCCATGAAGCGGGGTAAATTTATAAAAATGTTCGAATGCCTTTCAAGGATGCCAATACTATAGAATATTTCAAATTTTTGTTTAAGGGAGTACCAGATGATAGATGTTCTGCTTACAGCAGCCAATCTAATAATGGTATACGGAAGAAACAATTTTTCAATCTGAATAGAAATACACATGTGATTATATCACTGGCTTCATATTTGAATTCGAATAACTTTGGTGTGAAATGAACCAATTCAACCAAGTATAACTAAATCTCAATTTGAGGTAGACCTTAATTAACATTCCGATCACCTTTTCTAATTAGCAGATTCGAGAACGATTGTGACAAAAATTCACTATCAATTGTCTAAAAGTTGCACCAATGCTAGTAGTGTTTATTACACCAAGCACATATATCAGAAAGAAAAAAGTGCTGCAAGACATAAGCATTTTATAGTTAGATTTTATTATAAGTATATTTGTTATGGATTATTAATATTCCAAATTTTGGTTAATCCGGCACTCAATGATGCGAACTTTTTATAGCTACAACTTTGCCATTTGAACGAAATTCTCACGGATTTGCATGTCTAACTTGAACTGGTGTCTCAAAATGAGCCCCATTTCTTTCACGTAGAACTGACCTCCCAGAACTTCGGTTGCGTGGACCAAAAGACATCTCAGATTTTGAGATTCGTTGAGGTTTCCCAAGAGTGCGGACGCGGCATAAGATTATCCAACTTCATTTGTGATTATTCTTAGCATTGGAGAAGTCGTAACAGGTAACTTAAACTGTTGTTGGTTAGAGCTAGGTTTTGTCTCACATGAAATCTCTACAGAAATGTGACATAACTGCATCTTTTGTCAGCTTTCCCATAACGAAATTATTCTAACAGCTTTCGTTTACTTGTTGATGTATCAATTTCTAACACAAGCAGTATACGACCGTGCCTCGTTTGTTTTGGAAATTCGTGTAAATTTAGTTTTATATCCGTCAGCTTCCGCTGTTCGACCGTTTAACTCATAAATTCATTATCACGGTCAACTCGATTTTGATTGCGCTGTCAAGGTTTGTTTTCCATTTGTTTTTCCGACGGTGAAGGTTGATATTTCCGGTATGTTGTTAATCCGTATACCGTCTGTTACATAAATGGACGCGATTCGCTATGTTTTGTTATGACTACATTATTAATGTTATTTTACACTATATGAGGTTTAGAAATACTCTATAAGTTCAAGTTCTTCAAGTCGTTGGGATAAAAAATAAAGTGTTAAAATAAGTCTGTTGCAAACGGCAGTCTTCAAGCACTTTACTTTTCAACTAAACATGGAGTATAGTTGCTATGCTTTCCTCTGTTGTCTCAGAAACCAAGCCTAGATGACGCTGATGAGTTGACAAAAAGCACGAAACAGCTATCCATGATTGTGATTGCAAAGACGAAAGTAGCATGTGATGTTCTTTAATGGGGAATATAGCACTATACCGCCAGAATCGTCAGTCAGTGGAGACTGGGCTATCAAAAGCGAATTGAAAACTTTACAATTTCAAGAGAACTTTCATACTTTTCTCTAGCTCATTTGAATTGGAACTACCTTTTATCCCAACAAATCGATGAGTTCATAAATGCACAGCATGCACTGGGATATGAACTGTTATGAGATTTATTTCAGAAAGGGCCACCAGGGTTTTCGGCCCCAATCATTATTCACATTTCAAGTTTATCAATCTATGAGATTTTTGCATTAATATATTTTAGAACATATATATTTTAAACTTTCATCAAGTGTTTTGCTGTTAGTATTTGGTCGTTCTTTGAAAGCCCAAATTTCGCAATTAGTATAGTTGCAACACTCTCTAATTTAAATCTAAAATTAAACACATTAAAAACTGAAATACATGGGTCAGATGTGAAGTAAAGAAATATTCACATAATGGAAATTTCTTGTGTTTTTTGAGCGTATAGAATATTTTCCATTAGCGGTTGCATTCTACGTCTTTGGGTTAGTTTGAATCGGCAATTTCTTCTTTATACTGTGCCCATTAAATGTATAAATATTGAATAGAAATTTAGCCGCCACGTGAATATTTTTTCCTTGATTCTGTAAATACAAATTCAAAATACTGTATCTAGGCCAAAAAACATTTTGAGATCTTTTGCTATACACATACTGCATTAATTTCTGTACTGAACTACTTTTTGTTAAATTTTCGACTAAAAGCAGAGGTAAAAATCTATAAAAATATAGAATGACAATCAATTCATGTCATAATGATGAATCAGGTGTTCCATTTCAAGCGTATTTAACTGAAATATTTATTACTGAACCAAATAAATCCTACTGATGATAAAATATGCATACAATTCAATAATACGAACTCTCCCCATAGTCCGGGAAATATCTTCGCTTATGATAGGAAAATGTTCTGATTCGGATTTTTTGCATAATGTCATTCAAAAAGGTCGACGAAAAGGCCCAAATTTGCATCAAAACTTTTTTGAAAAATGTTTAAGTAAATTCCAAAAATTGTTTTTATTTGTGGTTTTCAGGACATTCTGAATAAAAAAGGTGCTTTAGAACTTTTACCTTAAGTTCATAGTTTTCGATAAATTATTCGAAAAAGTGCGAAATATGCTGTTTTCGATCCAGAAAAACGATATAAAAAAACGAAAATTTTAATGTTACCATGTTTCTAAATATTCTTCAAACATCCAGTAACAAAATGCAAAAGCATCTAGGGAGGTATTGTTATTGTAAATGTTCGTTTTTTAATTGTTATCTAAGCGCTCACTCAGTGTATGCTCTGCGTTAATATGAGAGAGATGCAACAGCCGCGGTCAACAATTGAGCGCGTGCTCGATTAACAATAGAAAAACAGAGATTTACAATAACATACGTCCTGAAATACGGAATTTTGCTACTGGATGTTTGATGATGATGATGATTTATGAATATTGGCAACATTAAAATTTTCGTTTTTTCATAGTGTTTTTCGAGGTCGAAAATGGCATATGTTATATCGCACTTTTTCAAACTTCGTATGGCATATATATCGAAAACTATCAACTTTAGAGAAAAGTTCTAAATTACTTTTTTTTTGTTAAAAATATCCCAAAAGACCTAAACCTTGGCCGAAACGAAAAAGTCTGGAATTATTCGAAAAAAATATTTTTCAAAACGTTTGACGCAAATCAGATGATCAAAAAAATCCGAATCAGAATATTTTTACCATTAAATGCGAATATATTGCCCGGACTACCACACATACCCCAGCAAATAAATGTTATCCGCATAAAATCTTTCTAAAGTGCACTCAACAAGCCAACACACCAATTTGTTGAAGAGAGCTCTCGTCGTACAAAATCCGCCTCGCCTCAGGAGTTGCCATAATTGCTTGCCAGTGAAGCAGCTAGAGAGTATTTAAAGTCTCAAAACACGATCTCTTGAGTACCGAGGCTGATTCAATTAGCCTAATGGCCGGACTTGCATATATTTTTACTTTTGCCGATACACTAACGTCGTCAACGAGGAAAATTTCCACCTCGTTCGGGGATTAGTGAAATTCTCCAGGAAAACACGTATCACTAATAGGTTGCGATGGCAGTGTCGTTCAGCTTACTTACTACAATGGAGGAAAAATAACAACAGACAGCTTGCCGTGTTTACCTTCGCATTGGTCGATTTTGGTAATAGCTGGCAGTTAGTGCTATCTTATTTCAACATTAGATAGGTTTTTCCACAGATCACCCTAAACGCATACACCTTCTCCCTTCCGTCGTGACAAACCAAATACATATTCACTAAAAATGTACAGTGTGTGCCGTTTAAAAATATACAAAATTTATTGGATATCACTTTTCTGATAAGAACGATACTACACAAAAACTTTATATCAGACCCTATAACTTTTGTATAGCACTTCTTTCTGAATGTTCACATAAAAACGTCAGGGTGAGGGTACAATTTGTAACGGGATACATATGATCCATTTCGAAGCACATGTATCTCGTAAAATATACATCAATTAAAACCTTGACGTCTCTGGGTGGTCACAGTCACACAGAACTGCGATTCCAAAAAGTCCCAGAAATTTTAGAATCCTTCTACCACGAGATAGCAGCTACTGTTCGTTTTCATAAAAAGGTGTAATATTCCTGGGCTATTCCGATTCGGAAATCCGAACATGCAATACAGCATATTTGCACCCAGATGCGTGTTGAAAGTGACGACTGTCCGCACGCTGGTAGAAGAAATAGATATACACCTATGTTGTAATACTAACACTGCTTACAAACTACTAACTCACAGTAAGTTCATACAATCACAACGTATGAGTTATTCTCCATGAAACTTACCTGCAACAAAAAAATATATTACTGATTTGCTTCACAAATTTAAAAATAATCATTTCTTTGAGAAACTATCACTGTAATCGTGAAAAATGTGTTGAGATATTATGTTAAAAACGATGTCACTCGTCGGTCTATCTGTCTGTTTGTCGGTCTGCCCGCTAAGCTTTAGTCAGACTATAACTTGGAAAGTATCGCTCGGACTTTGAAGAAGGGTTACTACTGTGCCCAGGACGAAAAAGCTTTGTAGTTTTGGAAAATAGGTCAAGTAGCGGGCGAGCTACGGAGCAAAAAAATCACTTAAACTTCGTTTTTTGATGTTTCAAAATTTGAAGCACCGCGATAGTGAGTATGAGCATTTATGCACAGACCTTAGTCGGTTAAATCACGGCATTGAAGCAGGTACTGTTTGCCTGCTGTTGCTCCGCCATGGACTACGTGTAGATGCATCGGTCATTCATTACTTCAAATTGTGAGTACATTAGAAGCATCCTAATGACAAAACGTCTTTGATTAATACCAAAGACATAACATTTACAGTCCCATACAAGCCCCAATCCACAATTTTCAACCTCTTCTTAATAATAGAACACCACTCGCTGATACTAAAGATGCAGCATTTACAGCCCTCTACCCCCAACAATCTCCAACTTTCAACCACTACAAGAATGTTTCTGAAAATGATTAGTTTCTGAAACGTCAAAAAAACGAAGTTTAGCCGATTTTTACTTTTTTTTCGTTTTTGGCATTTCCCCGCCGCCACTGCAACAATTTTCAAAAACGACAAAGCTTTTTAATGCTTGGCATAGTGGTAACCTGGTGTAAAAATTTAATCCAAATCCGAGTAGCACTTTCCAGGTTATAGACGGCCCAAGGATTAGCGGACAGATCGACAGACAGAGACCAACGGAAATGAGTGACATGGTTTTTCGTGATGTACATGTCATATAATATCTAAAAATATTCCACTTTCGAAATTTTTCGTGATTATAATACTTCATCGCCAGTGTGGCGTGGGAAAGTAGAAGCGCCCCTATTTTGAGTCGGTTCTGCGTCACTGTCAGGGAACCACCAGCCCAGGGACGTAATTGATCCGGACGACAACGATTCCTGAAACGGGATACATTCGCTAAAAGCTGCTGATGATGGTGCGTACGCGAGGAAATTCCCAAATTATCAGCTGACGACAGGAGGCGACAAAACAAAAGCCAATAGAGGTGATTACGCTGGATGGGCGCAGGCGACTCAGGCAGAGGAGAAGAGAGGATGGGATCGAATAACTCAATTTGGATTATTGTGATTTTGGGGCTGATAGAAGAAGGGGTCGCGTCATTAGGTGGAAGGGGAATAATCATGTTTTTCATGTGGTAGTAGATTTTTTAGGAAATAATATTCATCAATGTATTCTTTAACATATTTGTCATTCATGCAGTCAAGTAGGTCGATTATTACTACCCGCGCCTTCGTTAATGATTCTGATACAATGACAGTGGTGTACAATTTTGCTCCTGCTGGTTGACGCTTGCGTATTTGGAAAACAAACTATCAACGTATAAGGAGAAATGGCACATTTGATAGAAAAGTAACCTATTTCTCACGACTTCATCACATTGCAATTGACATCTTTGTTTATAATTGCAACTTATTGACAATCAGTAGTTCTTAAGAGACTAGAAGCAGCTTCAAACTGAGATGAGAAGAAGGAAATTTTGAAATTGAAACTGTCTTTCTTTAGGCATACCTGGTACGTCTTTCGAAAAATTGATTTCTGCCGGGTACTATTGAAATGGAAAGTGAATCAGTTAATACACATCTATTTAATGATCAAATTACAAAGAGGTCTGCGAATTAGGATGTCAAAAAATGGCTAGGAGCAGGTAGTCTTATTTCTTTGGAAATCTGAGAATACCGAAGGAAAAAAAAATATATGAACCTAGGTTTGTTTTAAATGCTTCATTTATAATTAGTGATTACCAGAAGTCAAGTCAGTATCTTGCTAGTCAATGATTTTATTGAAATTGTAACGTACTTAAAATTGTCCAATCATTTTTGAAGGCTGAGATAGAGAATAAGACAATGGTACTAACGACGCGAATTCTGACGAAATTTAGTTCTGATCAGTTCGTCTTAGGTCCTCGTCAGAACAAGGCGGTTACACTGTACGCGCTGTCTGACATGTTGGTAGTCAGTATCTTTCTGCCTCCCCGCAAATATGGACGAAATTGACGAATTTTATTTCCTTGAAAGCCCGTACTGTTGTCAAATGGTGGAAAAATAGAGCTTTTTAATCCTTTATTTTCTAGTAGAGATGACAAAGGAGAGATTGAAATGTTATTACTTATAGTTTTTGCCTCTCATATCTCATATCCCATGGTAAACTGTTATCACAATAGTTATCATTGTCCATCGTGGAATAACAAAAAAATCAAACCTGTTTGAACGCTCATCTTCTTCTGATGAGGTAGTGTATACTCTGATGTAGTGGTCGTGGTTATATATTTACATCGTATTGTGTTGATTTTACGTAGTTTTAGACTTTTGACTCAGTTGTCTACCAATGACTACCTTAGTGACAACGTTGTATCAACATAATAATTATGCTTACATCTACCTTCATTAGGCTTGGGCCGCTCGTTGCAAATTATGTAAGAAGTACAATGACTTGGGATTGTCTAACAGCACAATAATTTGCAAACATTTTTAAAAAATAACACCAAAAATGGGAATTTAATGACAGAACTGTCAAAAAGTTGACACGTACTTTGATTCTCACTATAGCCTATGAGAACTCAGTGACAAACAAATCTTTGACTGGCTCCTTCTATCTAGTCTGAAGTCGTTGATTTATTACACACACATAGTTTCTTCCACGTTCATTCTCGTTGACTAACACAATACACTGATACTCGATTACCTAGTCCCACTGTATGTAAAATTTTTACACGTGCCAGCTGAATACCGATCCAACAAATCTGCGGCACTTCGGCGCGCGTCATCTAAACTAAGCCTGACGGCGCGTTTTTTTGCAGCATTTAAATTTAACGCTTCTGTGTCCTCGCACTTAGACTAAAATAATTATTCCTTCAACCGTTTGTTCATGAAACCATTACGGAAGCAAGCTGATATTACACATCAGTTTGATCGGTGTATTTGAAATAAACATCCACCTTGTATATTTACCTTATCCCGCAAGAAGCGTTTTTTCCACAAGCAATTTAAAAAATTTATGATGGTAATTTAAGCCCGGCTAAAAATCTTAATACCCGCTTTAATTCTGGATTGGAACATTAAAATGTGGTATTCTGAATTTAAATACAGACGTCGACTCATAAAAAGCAGAAGGTCCCAGACGGCATTACAACAGACGTACGCACTTGAAAGCTTGAATTGAGGAGGGAAAAAATGCCATCAAATTAGTGCTAATCTTCCTTCCCATGTTATACTATAATATTCATTTTTTAATGCCAGACGAAGGGTTTTATAGGTTTCATCGTATGAAGGAACCCAACGCCTGTCATATGTCGTTCAGTATTCTAGATTTAGATTTAGTACACTACAGATAATGTAATCTTGCACACTTTTTAGAACCGTCTGCGTCTGTGGCAGCGCCATCTGAAGAAAGCGACCCTAACTAAGCCGCAATTCACGATAATTTCTTCATAGGTAACGACACTATGCAACCACTCTGGTGCCCTGTATTATCATACAATACGACGTATTATACATGACCTTTCCATACTTGCATTGCTTCCAGTGCTACTGAATTTTGAACAAAACATTTTTGCAATTATTCCGATATTTCTAAAATAAGAGAAATTTATCAAGTAGCCCTTGAGCTTGAGAATCTGAAAAGCGGCAAAAAATTCAAAAAGGTAGTATTGTTACTGGAATAACACGTAAAAAATGCTAGTTTCCTATTAAAAATGTAATTTGGTACTTTACACATTTGGAATACATTTTAAGTTACATAACAGCTTGCATTTATAATTTTTCAGTATCATCACTCAATCAGTGCTATTTTAACTGTTGAATTCTATGCCCTCCTCCGGACGTTATTACTTTTGCTTCCAACCGCAGGCGTAAGCATGTCAGGGGTGCGTTTGTGAATCACTTCGGAATGTAATACCGTACCCAGTAATGGAATATAGATTGACATATGAAATTTTACTCTTGCATATTGTGAAACATTATTTTTAGAACGCCTAAATTATTTCATATAATGACACTTGATGACAGCCGACCAATTTCTAACCACGTTCTCTGCGACCTTTGTATTCATTATAAGACGAGCCTCACTCCCAATTAGCATGCAGTGAGGATCAAAGGGTACGTGACATAGGTCAAATTTTTGACAGTTTTGTCATTAAATTTATATTTTTAGTGTTATTTTTTAAAGGAGCGAGTGTTTGCAGATAATTGTGGTGTTAGATGAGATTTCAAGACATGGTACTTTTACATAATTTGCAAAGAACCGTAAAAAGGAGGTAGATGTTTCCACCGGCAAATATTATGTTGATACGACCCTGTCACTTTGATAGGCATTGGTAGACAACTTGTCAAAAGTGTGTACTATAGTACTACGCAAATTTAGGGACAAACAATGCAATGTAAAACTATAGGCTTGGGTGCTTCTAACCTACAGGGTTTGTCCGGAAAGTAATAGGACTCATTTTCTTCTGCCATGACTGTACTTCGGAGCGTGAGCGCACCGACTGGATTCGGTAGAGGGCGTTCCTAGCTAACGAATGAGCGGCTGGTCAGTTGTCTCCGAGCACTTGGAGAGTCAGGACAGGCATTTTCGCGCGACGTGTTTCTGTGAGTGGTGCAAGCCGAAAATGCAGCGTTCGTTAGAGCAGAGGTACGCGATTAAATTCTGTGTGAAACTCGGTAAATCTGCGAGACGTTTGATATGATCAAGCAGGCTTACCCAGGTGTTGCTTTAGCAAGAAGTGGTGTGTTTCGGTGGTACCAGGCCCTTTTGGAGGGCCGGGAAGAGGTCGCTGATGAAGACCGTGCTGGAAGACCTTCGACTTCGACAAACACCGATATTGTGACTCGTGTGCGCAAAGTTTTGAACTCAGACCGTCGACTAAGTATTTGTTTAATTGCCCAGATGTTAAATTTACCAAAATCT